AATATGAAGGTCACTTGAAAAGTTTTGAACCTCAATATAAAGACAATCGTACATATTTTGCAAGATACTTATGAAAATTGTAGCGATTTTTGGACGTTCAGTTATTGTTTGAGTCATTTGTACCAGTTGATGTCAGTGTTTATGATTGAAAATCTGTGTCCTCCTAAGCCTAACTTTGAGCTAGGAAACAGGAAAAAGTCGTTGGGGATCTGGTGAATACGGTGGATAGTTAATTAAGGTATTTGTCTGAGAAATTGAGTTTCTACAGATTTTTTTGAAATTTAAATATTATGTTTAAAATAATTTCATTTATATGTGATTAAAGTTTCAAAGAACCTAGCGGTGTCGAAATGGAGATATTCACTTTCAAAGTTTCAGTTTTTAACATGTAATTTTCTTTCTTATTTTTTTATCTTATTTCTTATATCAAGTCTTGTAACGAAGTAACGTTTTAATATTTTGTGAAAAGCTTCTATAAATAATTTTTTAAATAAATCTGTAATGTAAAAATATTATAGAAACCTTAAATAAAAAAAATAAAGGGACCTAGCAGTGTCGTTTCTGAACTAGAGTAGTTTAAATTTGTAATTTGATTTTCGTACGCCAAGTGGCGACAGGGACATATTGTTGTCACATTTCAACTGTCTTCAGTGTGGACTAGTGTTTATGCACATAGATACAACATTTATGCATTTATGTGTTCGCCTTAAAAGTTTCTCTCTTCAGAGAGCACGCGCGGAGAGGCATTCGTAAATTTTTGTAATGGCCATTGTCGATATTCCATTTTACTTGATTTTTTTCTATTTTTACAAAAACTGACATCGATGGCACAAATGATTCTCAAACGACAACTGAGCGTTCAAAATGGCTACAATTTTCATAGATATCTTGCAAAACATGTACAATTGTAGTACCAGAATGGTTTTGACGAGTAATACCGTCTTCATGTTGAGGCTCAAAATTTTTCAAACAATCTTCGTATTATATAAATATAGAATTTTGCTAATGTTATATATCTAGTATAACACAGTAACATACAATACATTGTACAATGATAATATTTAATGTCTCGCATTATGAATGTAATAAGTGGCGATTGATAAGAATTATAACAGATAAACGGTAAACGTATATGGTAATCTTGTTAGCGCATGCACATATACGCAATATGTATGAAACAATCAATTGCATGTTAATTAGGCTCGATGATGACAGATCTCATTCTCGTATTTACTACGGAACGTACTATATTTACTTTGATCATTTGCAAGCAAGGTTCTTACAAGGTAAGAAGGAATTTTGTTGTCACAAAAACGTTTCTGCTTCTACATTCGATATAAAAATTTTGTTATTATTAGATATCAATTATTTGATAATATAATGTAATAAAATTTATTTTCATTTTTACTAAAATACAGAATTTTGTTGAATATGCTAGTAAAAGCTTTATTTATTTATCACATTGAATTGACTAATTTAAATTATTATTAAACAAAAAATATATATTATAGAAGCTATATAGTTTGTTGCAACAAAATTATTAGATACTGTTATTTTAATGACAAATTAATTTTTTATAGCAAAAATATTTTTGGTAAGTAGTATTATTAACAAATCTTATTTTATCTATATAATAAATGAAATTTATTGTAATAACATAGGAAAGTGGTTCAAATATGAACGATACCTTCTGTGTGAATATAACATTGAAAAATTAACACTATAAGTATTTATACAAAATTACATAAGAAAAAAAGCAATGCGTAATAATTAATCATATTGTTATTGCCACGTAATCAATACAAATTAAGAGAAAAGAAAATTTATTAGCAGCACATTTTATACATAGGTCAAATATAAACAATACTATTTTTTGTATGAATATAAATCAATCATGTAGATAGAGAGAGACGTATTTACACTGAGTGCTAGGTGGAGATGTTTGCTTATGTCCTGTACATGTGGTCTTCCAACAGTTGTTACAGTTGTTACTGTAATAATTTCGATGTTCGAATAAATAGTATCGAGTACCGCGCAAGTTCTGGTTCATGCATTGATCAAGTTTTCTGGAGAGTAAAAATGTTAAAGTCAAAATTGAAATTTGGTGTAAACTGCGTGCACAATTCAGAGAACAGATGCTATCGAAAGTGTAAGAGTATACCAGCATTCGATACTATTTGTTTGAATATCGTAATAATGACTATAGAAACAACTGCCATAAGGCCTATGTAGGGCGTGAATAGATACCTCTACCTTTCACTCACTATAAATACATCTATCAATGTTGATTTGTTTTACAAAAAAAACATACTTTATATTTGACCTCTACATACAAAGTATGATATTAGAAAATTTTTTTCTTTCTGTGTATTGATTGCTACATGACTATATAAAGATATAAATAATTATTGTGTATTGATTTTTCTTTTATATAATACTTATATAATATACTATAATTATATATGATTATATAAAAAATTGACATTTTATAGATAATTATATATAACATTTTTTCCCGTGAAAAGTATTGATAAATTTTGATAATTTCGCAACTATCAATACGATTGAACGCACGAAAAATATTACATTATAATAATAAAATATAATACATTGTGATTTTAACTATATCTTGTTTGTAACATGTAAATCTATATGTTTCTAATGTATATAACTGCTCTCCTGTACATGTGTTTGTATTAAATGAATATTAATATATTA